ATAATTTATCATTTTAATTTTGATTTGTAAATGTTTTATGAAATTAAATGCTGGGAGAAGCACATTTTGCCTCTAGACTAGAGGAAGTTGCCAGAAGAGGGAGAAAAGGGCATGAACGGGTCTGTTGCGCCGCCTCGTGGCTGGGATTGAAACCGCGTCCTGTAGGAAAGCCGCCCAACAAACCCGAGGCCGGTGCCCACAGGAAGGCGGCGCCCACCCGCACCCCCGGGGCACAGCGCCTCCGCCTGCTGCCAGGGGAGGGGCGGCGCCCACCCGCACCCCCGGGGCACAGCGCCTCCGCCTGCTGCCAGGGGAGGGGCGGCGCCCACCCGCACCCCCGGGGCACAGCGCCTCCGCCTGCTGCCAGGGGAGGGGCGGCGCCCACCCGCACCCCCGGGGCACAGCGCCTCCGCCTGCTGCCAGGGGAGGGGCGGCGCCCACCCGCACCCCCGGGGCACAGCGCCTCTGCCAGGGGAGGGGCGGCGCCCACCCGCACCCCCGGGGCACAGCGCCTCCGCCGGGGTCTGCGCTGGGACCCGGGACCCGGGGCACGGAGCCCGGAAGGACCACGTCGTGGGGGGAATGAGTCCAGCCTCCCAGGCAGACGCGCCCACACGCCGGAGGCCTGAGCCGGAGGGGGGCCCCTGCGTCCAGTCCTACCAGCTTCGCTTTGGCAGCGATGAGTGTTGCTGCTGGGCTTTGGGGTACCCTGAGCAATGGCTATGACCAGTGCGCTCCATTCCCCTGCCCGTCCGAGCGCTGAGGACTCATAAATAGGACAGCATCTCGGTGGGTGGGCGGTGGGGCAGTGACTGAATCACGTGATGTGCCAGGCAGCCCTGCGCTTAGTCGGTCGTTGTCATTCCTGTTCTTACTGAGACGCAGCCATCCCCTGGTGTCCGCTCAGGTAAGGGCGGGCTGCCCTGGAGGGTGGGTCCCGTCCTCCACGTCCGCTAACGGCGACCTCCGCTCTGCACCGAGGTGCACCTGGGTCCCGAGTCGCTCAGGACTCGGAAGCCTGGCATTATCTACTTTGCAAATTCCTTCTCCCCGTCGGCGCTGCTCCCACACAGCGTAGCCTCGGCAATGGCCAGCTGGGGCGGATGCCTGCCTGGGCCCGACCACCAGGGCTCCATGGGCCTGGAGCTCCCGGTGGAGCAGAGCACGTCCCGAGTCCCTGTTTGTCCCTGGGAGTGACTTACATCCCGCGAATTATAAATTACTGGTAACTCCCCTTTCAAAGAAGCAGGGATGAGCCTGGAAACGGAGAAGTCCTACAGGTCCATTTCACCAGCTCTACAGTCGTGCTCGGAGCTTGCCGTTATGAAAAGAACTTCCTGATATAGCAACTACCATCTAACCTATAGCTTATGTTTTGAATAAAAATAGAATTTCTCCCAACTCCATTCAAGTCTCCAGAATTCTTGTTCCCATCTGCACCATCGCAGTGTTTACGCGGCACCGGGTCCCCTGCTGAGAGCGGGATGGCAGCTGACAGTTTCATTCCTTACATCAGACCAGTCACTTGGTGCCTAGCGGGCCCCCAGCCCTGCGAGACCTGGGGATACGGGAGTGACTAACACAAATCTGCCCTCAGGAGCTCCCCGCCCCCATCTCTCCCTCTCTCCCCCTCTCTCCCCCTCTCCCTCCCTCTCTCCATGCTCTTCCTCTGGCACCCATTGCACCTGTGATCCTAGGGAAACAGTCCGGCTTCCTGTCCGAGGTTCCCTCGGCTAAAAAGCAGCGATTCGTGCACAGCCCGTGGGCACAGACAGTAGTGCGGTGGAGGCCTGGGTGGGGCAGGAACAGTGGAGGGGCCAAGGGGGGAGAAGGGGGTGTGGGGGTACGTTCTCTCGACCAGCGCCGAAGGAGAGAACGCGGGGGTTCAAGAATCTTGATTTGAACGTGACGAAGAATGAAAAACGGGACTGAGACAGAAATAGAGGGAAAAGCTGGGCCTGGGTGTGGCATCTGCCCTCTGGTAGATGAACCGGGCGCCAGCACCAGAACCGTGTTTAATTTATACCCAAATACCAGGAAGTTACGTCAGTTCTGGGTGGGCCTGACTGGTGGGCGGGAGGAGCAGTCAGGAACCCGAGGGCGTGGCTCCGCCTCAGGGCCCCTCCCACAGGGCGGGGCCAGTCAGAGGGAGGCGGGTCCTATTCATTCCTAGTGCTTGGCTGGATTTACAATAATAAAACCCACTCCCCAGCACCTGGGCAGCAAAGAGAAGCGTCAATGCCGAGAACACATCCATCTTGGTTAGATGTGTATCCAAGGCTCGGCTCTGCCAGCCACCTTAGGCTCACTGACAATATTTTAGGAAGCATGCCCATGTGTCCTCCCTGGGGGACCCTCTACAAAGGGGGACATCTGTAATGCTCTCAACAATAAAAACAAATTTAAAAATAAATAAAAAGCAGAGGGGATGACCGCGTTAACTAATTCGAGGCATCACAGGGAGTTCGGAAGAAGCAAGAAACTAGTGAACGCGATGCGAATGTTATGTCTTACTACAGCTTTACCGTTAACTCTTACGCAGCCCCTCTCCCTCTGTAGAAAAGGGGACACTGAGGCAACAGTGGCTGTGCCCTGACTTCTGTCCTTGGAATGTCCCCGCTGACACCTGCACAGCAAACGGAGGGGCATCCGCGGAGGAAGCGAACCAGATGGGACGGTTTAGTCACCCAGCAATGGAGCAACATGTGTTCCAAGAAAATCATCATTTCCTGGGAGGGGAAATGTAATTGTTTCCAAACCACTCATAACACATAACGACTTCACAACACAAACTCCGTTCCACCGGCCTGAGGGCCGGTGAGAAGGGGAGCGGTGACCCCCCCCTCCCCCACCACCCCCCACCCCCGCCCCGGCCCACCTCGGCCCAGAGTCACTTAACCGATGAAATTTAAACTGTAAGTCTTTATTACAGTTCGGAAGAAGCAAGAAACTAGTGAATGCAATGCAAATGTTATGTGCAGTTAACAAAAATTCCTATTTAGAGTGGTTCCAGTGTTTCCCCGAGGACAGCTGCTGTGAGCAGAAAGCTGGCGGGTCTGCTATGAGGAAGGCTCCTCTGCAGCAGGCGTGGCCCCTGGTGGCTAACGCCTCCCGCCGACCTTGCCAGCGCTTCCCGCCAGTGGCCCCTGAAGGAGAGAAGAAAAGACGACGCAATCCTCCGAAAAGGGGGTTGGTGCCTGCAGACAATCCCCCGATGTATGTTTTACTTTTTTCCTGATAAGGTTGACAAAAATTAAGTTGGAGTCTCATCGGTGCTTCTCCCAGACCCATCCTCCTCCCTGCACCCCACCACGATGATTTTTAGGGCGCCCTTCCAATCCCCGTTTTGTCATTTTACTTTGTATCCATGTCAACGTCAGTGACCGCCGTAGTGTTTTGCGTGGTTTTCAGAGTTGCAATCGTATGGACAGTGAGCTGCAGCTTGCTTTTGTGCAGAGCACATTGTTGAGTTCAGTCATATCTATGTCTACAGAGAGAGAGGAGGGACCTGGCTTATTACTCTTAGCCACTCTAAGGTATTCAAACCTACAGATCTTCAATATCTGTATCTGTCCTACTTGCCCTCAAATGACGCCCATGTGTGCCCAGATGCTCCCAGCGCTCCCACCGCGGCCCAGGCAGCAGCAAACGCCCCTCTTGAAAGTGTTACATGTTCACCCCGGGCGTCTTGTGACAGGACTCGCTTCCACCACCAGTCACAGCAGCTCTGCTCCCTGACAGCATCCCCCCAGGCGTGCCTCTTCCATCTCCCACTGCTCTCGGCAGCCCCTCCGTCTCCTCGCCATGCTGGTTGGGCAGATTGAGGCGGCTGCCTGGTGGCCCTGGCATTTTTCTATCCGGATCACCAGAAGCTACAGTCAGTTCATCTGAATGCTTCTCACCAATGGCTACTTGAAGTTACTTCGATCACAAATTATTAACTTTCCTTATCCGTCAAGCAACCCTGAGGTCGGAACTTCATATGGATCTAGGCCAGCTGGTTGCCACTGACATTGTTGCAGAGAACGTGACTGTGAAGGGAATCAGAACCGTCACAGACAGGCATAGCCCACTTCTCCTTCCCCTACTTCTCAGCTCCCTGCAAAAGAACACCCCCCACGGGTGGGCAGGACCCCCTACGGGTGGGCAGGACCCCCTACGGGTGGGCAGGACCCCCCATGGGTGGGCAGGACCCCATACAGGTGGGCAGGACCCTCATGGGGGGCAGGACCCGCCGCAGCAGGGGGGAGAGAGTAAAAGGTCTGGGAAAGCAAGAGATTCAAAGCACCACAGAAGGGGAGGCTGTGGAGGCACCTACAGGCTTTCATTTAGCCTGTCATTCGATAAGTTACAATTCTGTGGGCAGAGATCACATCCAGGCAGTTATTCCAGCAAATAGCCTGTGTCTTACACTAACAAAGTCCATCTGAACAGTCATCACCCCCAGATCAGTGACTTTGTGTCTATTATCCTACCTTTGAGGTGATGATAATTGAGTTAGGAAAGGAAGACATCAGACTTGCAATAATATCTGACAATAGTATGAAATGTTACAAGAAAAAAAATTCAGCCAAGATTTTGATATATGAAAGTCTTAATTGCTACTAATAATTATTATCACAATCATGAGTAGCTATCATCAATGAAGCATTAGGTTTTGCAGGAGTAAAATTTTGCCATTATGAGATAAGTATTATTTCCACCTCATTTAACAGATCAGGAAACTGAGGGCACTGGCGGTTAGGCAGTAATAGAGGCTGGAGACAGGATCGAAGCCCAAATCTATTGACCAGCACCCAAACTCTTGCTGTACCATAGCTTTAGTTTGTGTCCTAAATTCTGGGTCAAGAAAAGCCCACATCCACTGGCAACTAATATTTTAGTGTCAACACAGAGTCATCTGTTGCTCATCACTCCCATTGCATTTTCGCATCCTGTGGAATCCTGGCCTTGGAGCTGCGGCGACAAGAACTGCTTTTCTCTCTCGCTTTCCTCTGCAGGGCTGTGACACCCAGATGCTTCATGACCTGCTGCTCAGGTTGAGGGCCACCGTCTGCTTACCTGGTGACTTTGTCTGCAGAAAGGTGAGTGTGCTATTCGTCACGCGCACGGCAGGTAACTAGGTACATGGAGGAGCTCAGACATAGTCAGGAGCTGGGTGTGAATTTGCCCGGCGGCCGTGGCCCAGCAATAGTGATGGCAGACAGCTCTGTGACAACAGCAGTGCTCTCTGAGCTCAACATGGGACATGACTCGGATGTCAGTACCTGCAGGACATAAATGGGTCGTCTGAAGAGTTGCCTTTTACGAACGTAAACCATCAAGCATCACACCCATTGATTCCAAACCCTTAAAGAGGAGGGAAAGCTGGAGATGAAGGGTGGGCCTGCCCTCTCCTGTCGTCCACAAGCTGTCATCTACTCCCCTTTAGCTCCTCCAGTGAGTGATAATTAACTTAAAAATAAACATTTTTAAAATGTTACTGTGATTTTCATGAAAAATGTTCCATGTTCATTATTTTTTAAAAGAAAAACATATAAAAGCACCAAGACAGAAATTCCACCACCAGAAACAACTGCTGTCCTGTGGGTTGGCCTGTCTCGTTACACTGCTTGAGGGGAAGTTTCAGAGACCTGCGTCACACTGTACTTACGTTTGAAGCTTGTCCTGTCATGTAGCATATTACACGAACATTTTACATATTTCCATCTTCTACAGCCTCGTTTTCAGAGCTGCATCCTATTTCAGTCTATGACCGTCATGATCAATTTCCAAATGTGTGCCGGCATTTAACTCTACAGGGAGCATTTTCCTACATCTCTGAAGACGAACGTGAGTGGGGGGAAGGAATGATGACCTTGGGTTTTATGTCTCGAGAGACTAAATCCATAGTCAAGACAATAACCAACATGAAAAGTAGAGGAAATGAGGAGTTTAGAGACATGAGAGCGATCCCCGATCCCCGACCCCGGAGCTCCCGGCGAGTGCGGCGAGGAGACTGCGTCCCGAGTCACCTGTGAGCGCTGCGTGGGAGGAGGCTCAGGCGCCGAGGACACAGTCCCATGGGCAGGACTTCCTGGAGAACATGACGCTCAAGCTAAGTCCGGAAGGAGGAACTGGCACGAATCAGGAGGAAATGGCACTCCAGAGAGAGGAGAGCTTGTGCGCTGGAGCAGGAGCAGGGCTGGTCTGCAGAGCGGAGCGTGCAGAAAAGACAGTGAGTCACTAGCTCGAAAGCCTCAGTATTGTTTAGTCAGTGCAACTCATTAAATGTTTGGAATACGATGAGCCAGGCACTGTGCTGGGTTCTGGGGACAAACAGCAGTGAAAAAATCAAGTAAAAGGGTTGTTCTTGTCCTCCAGGACTCAGTCCAGTGCCAGGCTGTTCGCCCAGTGACAGCAGAATCACCAGCCCCAGCACTCGGCTGGTCTAGTGGGACCCACATATCAAGCTTTTAAAAGCTCCCAGATGAGTCTTGCCCAGTTGGTGCGGCTCAGTGTTGGAGCATCCACTCAGGAACCAAGAGGTCCCCGGCTCGATCCCCAGCAGGGAGTGTGCAGGAGGCAGCCGATCCAGGAAGTTTCTCATTGATCTTCCTATCTCTCTCCCTCCCCCTCTCTCTAAAAATCAATGTAAAAAGAAGCATATTTTAAAAGCTCCCAGGCAATTCTAAAATACAGCCAAAGTTGAGAATCACTGGCTGATGGAAGAGACAAGCAATAAACAAATGAAATAAGCACTAAGTGAAATGACAAACACGTACCTCCAACACCTGCTGCTCTCCGAGGGGAAGGAAGGCCAGGCGGCGGCCAATAGAGGGCGGCTGGGCAGGCGGCCGGCATGACCTCCAAAAATCTAACGAGCCGTGAAGACCTGGAGCTGAGGCAGGACGGAGCGTGGCATGTCCCAGTGCTGGGCACGCCAGGGCAGCGGGGGAGACCGTGGACATCAGTCTCGTACAGGAGAGAGGAGGGAACTGGAGGCCAGTCTTTGGGAACCACGCGTCACAGAAGCTGACTTCCTGGAAGCTCAAGTAAAGGTCAGGGAAGAGGACCGAGGCCACACCCGAAGCGCCCAGTGTGTATGGAGGTCAGGGGGGAACCGGAGAGGGCAGCGCGAAGGAGCTGTCAGAGGCTGTGATTGATGGAAACCGAGAACATACAATCCCACGCAATCCAGTCCCCAAAAGTAGGCAGCTCGGTGATATGAAACCACGTGCGTTACAATGGGAGTGCAAACAGCCCAGCTTAAGGACCCTTTCGGGGCAGTGGCGCCTGGAATGACCCGTCCACGGTGCCCTGGCAGCAGCACTGACGGCCGAGAGGAGGCAGCGGCTCTCCTGCCACTCTGGCTGATTCCTCACGTCACACCCGTCACTCATTGAGCACAGATGCGGGGAGGAAGGGACTAGGCAGGGGAGCCGAGAGGAGAAGGCAGAGGCCACAGTGTGTTTCTCTGTTTGGCTTTGAAGAGGGGATTTGAGTCATAGTTGATAATGAGAGATGAAAGCTTGTCACTTGACCAGATTTTAGAAACCTGAATTACGCTTAGTTTTTGCTTATCATTTCCACAAACCACTGTAGCAAACGGAAAGGAAAAGAGACTCTGATCTTTGGAGGTTGCCTGAGTAACTGAAGAAACGCCAGGGCTCGGGGTTTGCTGACCTGCCTAATCCTCAGGGTCGAGGGGGGCCTCCCCAACCGCGTGGCAGCGGGGCCTGCTTCACAGCGCATCTGGGAGTTTTCCAGGCACGAGTGGCAGGATTATTTGAGTGTCGCAGTGCTCCCAGCAGCCCTGCAAACAGCTTCCCCCGGGACCTGAAACTGTGAGGGTTGCCACCCTCCCCACGCAGCTCTCGCCCTCTGCCTTCCTCCCCATCAGCACACAGCCAGCCTGGGGCGGGGTTTGATCTTGCTTTGCACACACTCCCAGACCTTGTGCTCTGAGGACTGTCTACTTCACTCACAAGCTAATTAAACTCGCAGGAAAGGCTTAAATTAGCCTAGAAATATGCAAGCAACCGTGGAAGTTTTGGTTCGTTGATTATGCCAAATCTCCTTGGAAAATTATTGAAATGATCGTTAAAAAAATAATTAAAAGTGCTGAACTATATTTAAGCACCCATTATGTATTTCTGCCTCCTGGCAGCTGTAATAACTGCCTTTGAAAAATCACTCCAGCAACTCGAGCCTCACTCCATGCGGAGAATAAGGAATCTGGCCCTGTTCTAATCATTGCTTTTCTGAGTGTCTCTTGGAAAACTAATTTTCAGGTACTTCTGAAAATAATGCATAGCTGCTTTGTTGGTTTCTAAGAGGCTGGTCTTGGTGCTGGAGGCATTGTTGGGTGTGGGCGAGCTGCATGTGTTAGAGCCCAGTGACACGGCGCTGCTGCTGCTAAAGCCGAGGCTGCCAGCCTTGTGCGGTTGCTCAACACACCAGTGTTCAAGCCTCTACCACCAGTTTTAAATAACAATAGTGATCTCTCTCCTATTTGGCCTCACTGGGGTTACTGCAAGAATGAATGAGTTGCAGGAGGGTCGAGGGGGAATAAATGGCGCTGGGCTTGGACCTGAGTGGGGTGGTACAGTGCACAGGTGATGTGCTGTGGAATTGTGCACCTGAACATGTATGATCTTGTTAATCAGTGTCACCCGATAAATCGAAAGAAAAGGGGGATGAAAGAAAGAAATGAGTTAGTATCTATGAAAGTGCTTTGTAATTATAAAGTAGGATGTTCTGATAGAAGGAATATAGGAATTAAAATAAGGAGCAACATAACTACCAGGTATTATGATTTTTAAAAGTACTATGCAAATGCAAGATATTGTTATTAGCATTGATATCATGGAAATAACCCCAATAAGATCCATCTGTATTGGAAACTTGCTTTGATATGTACATGAGAATAAAGGCATGCTTAACATCCTGCACAGGGAAAACCTAAGCACACTGCCTGCCTCGCAAAGTCAGGAGATGTGTTTTCTGGGCTCTTTCTGCTTCTACTGTCTGTCAAGGGGCTTTTGTCAGTCAGCTAAGCCAATCTGCACCTTTCCTTTCTGTGAAATGGAAATAATACTTACCCTCCCTTCCTCATAAAGCTAATGGACAGAGGAAATGAGGACTTCAGCTGTACAGAGGTTACCTAAGAAGTAGAGTGCATCAATAATTATAACACAACAACAATTTGTGTTCAGGATAACAGCCCCTGGTGTTGAAAGACTTCAAAATTTCCCAGAGAGTGGATGAGTTGTATCTCCCTTGTTCATAAATGCGTGGCTGTCTCACAAGCCTCTCTGCCCTGGAACACAGCACACATCGCCGCCATGGCAGAGCATAAACTCGAGTCCCCATTGTTTCATCCTGAGTCAAGGTTAGTGCTTCTGACCTTTTGACAATATCGAGGGGCTCACTTCAAAAATACAACTAAAAGACAAAACGGACATCATCCAGAACCACAGGAAGGCTGGCTGAGTGGAAATTCTACAACTAGAAGGAAAGAGAAAAGCACACTGAGACTCAGAGGAGGTGCAGAAGTAAAGTGCAGAGGTACGGAGGGCTGGCAACTGAGGACACAGTTGTCTTTTTCAATCGGGAGGGAGTCCCAAACTCCCGACTGCTCTGAACTCCAGTTCTGCATGAGTCTCTGGGGACCCAGACTCATACGGGGAGAAACTGGACTGTCTGGCATCGGTCAGAACACGAGGGCGGCTTTCTCTCAGAGGTGCTTATGGTGATTACCAGGACACTGAGACACGGGGCCTCTTAGGGTAGGACTGAGGAGCAGCCATAGCTGCTTGCTCCGCCCTGTTGACCCCCTAATACCCGACCCAAGCTGTGCACAGAGGCTTTTGCATATGAAAGGCCTGGCCCTTTGCAATCTGAAAATTACCTAACAAACTGCAGCTGGGTCAGAGAGACCCAGAACTTCCAAAAGAAGGCCCAAGGCCCCACAGCAGCTTGCATTGCTTCACAGCTGGGCCTCATCTAGGCATCTCCAAACCCCAAACAAAGAAGAGGAATCTGAAGATCTCTCCATAGCTCCTGCTGGGTAGCCTCAGGCAGAGGCTAAATTAGCACCTCC